TCAAGTTTGATTAGCACTTCACTTCACTACAATAATCACAATGTGATTGGCGTTGGATTTACGCATTTCCTTTACTCTTTTTTTTTTATTATTATTATGTGAATTATTTTTTTATATTTTTTATTTTACTTTATTTCAAAAACTTAACCTCTTGCTGTTTAACGTTACACGTTCACGTTCCATTGCCATCGCTTGAGTACGAATTTCTGATAACATTCAGCACTAGAGATCTCCGCTATGCCGTCGTACGACGAGTATCTGCCACACGTCTCAGGCCTCACGGTGCAACCCCAAAAGCGGTGCTCACGCGCCAAATAACAAACGTGCACTGACACATCCGTGCAACATTATGCGGATTTTATGGCACGACAACGACACCAGCAGACCCAAAAGAACACGACGACGACGACGACACACTACGACGGCTACGGCGACGGCCACGGCGATGGCGACGGCGACCTTCGACCAGAGGCTTCGTTTTTTTAGATCACACGAAAGCACAAAAGGCAGCATTCAATAAGAAATTTGTTGTCCTAGGCGCAACAGACGACAGCCGAGGGCCCCCAATCGGCACATGAGCGCCAGAGAGCGACCCACAAAAGAGAGTCTGCACATGCGCGACCATTAATTTCGAGGCTGGCAATGCTGTGGTCCACCGCCTGAGCGTTTCAAGAAATTTGAAACTGGACAGTGATTTGATGACGATGAAGATGAATGAATGCGTGGGGGGTGGTGTGGGTTCGTTCTATGAATGGAATGGTATGTAGTGGAATGGAATGGGATGGGATGCAGTGGGCTGGATGGTAGGAGCTGTTTGTAAGGTTGGAGGGTTGATTCAAGTTCAGGTTGCCCTTTGACCGCAAAATACCGGCTGCCAGCTAATAAACTCCCAAAGAGCAACCAAAAATGTTGTTCGAATTTATTGTTTAACATTCTTCTACTCGTAGTAGTCCATTCTGCTGCTGCTGCTGCTGTTGTTGTTGCTTCGTGCCCCTCACCATCAACAAAACTAAGACTGATAAATGGCCACGCACTCTGGCAATTTGCAAGTTTTCTTCAGCTAACCCCAAAAGTTTTATATGCCTCATCTTGTTGTTGGATGGGGGGACCCTCGGTTTCGGTTCTGGTTTCAGGTCCCTGGTCCCAGTTCCTGCTTCCTCTCTTTGAGTGCTGTCCTGTCTTTGCTGCTGTTTTTAATATACAATATTAGCCGGTAGTGATGTTTCAATTAATTTTTAAGGTGCTGGCCCCGTCGCTCCGACCCGTCTTCAGAGGAGGCAGCACTTGTCAGTGTCAGACAGAGACGGCCAAAGATATGGCCAGAGATGAAGATAGAGAGGCGGCCACCCACCAGAAGAGAGAATGAAGGGAAAGCGAGTGGGGCGGAACCGCATGCTAAGATATGATGGCAGATGCCAAGCAGAGGATGAATAAATGGCCTGGATGCAAAGTTTAAATTTTTCATAGTGGGTTTCTTCGGTTCGGTTGGGTTCCCGTTCGCTCTTTTGTGGTTTGGGGCTACCCATCCTCTATTCTTGTGGTTTGCATTGGTCAAACTATGGAGCAATCGGACATTAAGCAGCTGCCATGACGGAGAAGACAGATTATTGCATTTTCATTGCATATTCGTTGCGAAGGAACAAAATCCAACATTATTAAGACTTAAAATATGTGCGGACAGACGAATTTGAATTGCAGTGAAAGTTAAACGTTGGAAGAATTTTGTAATATTTATTATATTAAACTTAAGAGGGAATTTTCTAGACTTTTAGTAACTTAAATGGATGTGGAATCAATCAATTTCGAATGTCTTCCACCGCAGGTTTACACAGTTTTTTTGTTTCATCGACACAGTAGCCAGAATTTGTGTTGGTAAGACCTATTGAAAGTCGAATCATATATGTATTTTAGGGTATCTTAAAGATAGATATAAAAAAAAAAAAACTCACGCGGCCTGCTGTTTAATCCACGCAAACATATCTCGACTCTTAGCTCACATTCGTTGTTAGCTTGAAATTCACAAACTCCATCAGAAGCACATGACATTTCCTCGAATGCATGATAAGCACAATCCTCTAAGCAATTTTCTCTCCTTAAAGCAAGACTCAGGGGAGCTGATTCGGAATTTAGTAGTTTTGGATAATAGATCAAATCAGAACTGTACAAAATTATATATGTAGATCACCTAGGAGAAGAACGTGACTTATCTTCATGTTGATTGAGAGAGTTGGCAAGTGGAACTGGTATAAAATGATATTTGTATAGTTAAGAGCCTTATCATACGATTGGATACGGTAATTATCTTGGTGCTCTGCACTTATATCATAAATCGACGATAAAAAAAAAACTGAAATATACAAAGTAGACATTTGTATGATATTGTATATATTTAGCTCACTACTTCTTTGAATTTAAAAGCTGTTGGATTAGCTTCATCTGTTCTTCTTTTTGGGTTTTTCTATTTTTGCTGCTACAGATTTTTCGTACATTACAATAAAAGCGGGACGTTGAAAGAATTCTGTATTTATTATAGTATATAGTATTTATTATAGTATAAACTTCATGCTAAGTGATGCCATAAATTTAATAGAATATAAATCCAAGACTGCTATTAAAGCAAATCGATTCTGGGTATGGAAGACTATTATAACAAGTGTAAAACGAGTTTATGTAAATGGAATATCTGTTATTTGTTCGCTCAACATAGGTTTACACCGTCTCTTACGTTCATCCACACAGTATCCAGAAACCGTTTTAATAAAACCTATGAAAAGTCAAATAACATATTGTAGGGCATAAAATATTAATAGATCTAAAAGATTAATGGTAACAAAAACTCACGGGGTCTGTTGTTTATTTCACGCAAACATATCTCAACTCTTAGCTCACATTCGTTCTCCGCCTGAAAGCCGCAAGCTAAATCATAGGCACATGACATTTCCTCGAATGCAAAATAAGTACAATCCTCTAAGCAACCTTTTGACTTTATGGCAAGACTCAGGGGAGCTGATTCGGAATATAGTAGTTATCGATAATAGATAATACATACAATTAAAACTGTACAAAATATATAGATCACCTAGGAGAAGAACAAGAATAATCTTCATGTTGATTGAAAGAGTTGGCAAGTGAAACTGGTATAAAATGAGATTTGTATAGTTAAGAGCCTTATCATACGATTGGATACGGTAATTATCTTGGTGCTCTGCACTTATATCATAAATCGACCATAAAAAAAAACTATGAAATATACAAAGTAGCCATTTGTATGATATTGTATATATTTTGTTCACTACTTCTTTGAATTTGCGTTGGTTAGCTTCACTGTTCTTCTTTTTGGGTTTTTCTTTTTTCGCTACAATTTTCGTACATTACAATAAAAGCGAACGTGGAATGTGTTTATTATGTTAACTTCAGCTAGTGATGCTTTATACCAGACTGCTTGCAACGTCGGGGGGCGGTACGGTTTGTGGCGTTATTTGTTCGCTTAACGGTTTACCCCACGTCACCACACGTATCCAAAACCGTTTTTACCTATGGTCAAATAACATTTGTGGGTCTTGACTGTTGGTAACTCACGGGGTCGGTTGTTTTTTCACGCACCTCACCTTAGCTACTCGTCTCCGCCGAAACCGCAAGCTAAATCGGCACCGCATGCCTCGCGATGGCACCGCTCCCTGCTTTGGGACGGGGGCTGTCGGATGGTTCGTATGCATCATGTCGCACCTGGCGTTCTCAGTTGTTGGGTTGGCGTGCTGGTTGGTTTGTATGTTGGCCTACGTGGTCGGTTTTGTGCTCTGCACTTTTATCATAAATCGACCATAAAAACTGTAAAATACCCAAAGGAGCTATTTTTATAAATATATATTGTATGTATATATTTTTCACACTGCTTCTACGATTTTAACTGCTATTGGGTTAGCTTCATCTGTTTTTCTTTTTAGGGTTTTTCTTTTGTTTTCATTTTTTCTTCAGATTTTTCTGTTGATTCTGTTTTAGTTGTTTCCTTTTCTGATTCTTCATTTTGATTATTTTTATTTATGATCTTTATTTTGGGTATTTCTGCTCATTTCTTCTTTCTATGCAATTTCTTTTACTGCCGTATCTTAAACTGCAATCGCTTCTTCTTCTTCATCCGCTGCATTTTTTTCTTCAGTGTCTGTTTTTATACCCGTACTCAAAAAAGAGTTAAGGGGTATATTAGATTTGTGGTAAAAGTGGATGTGTGCAACGCAGAGAAGGAAACGTTTCCGACCCCATAAAGTATATATATTCTCGATCAGCATCAATAGCCGAGTCGATATAGCTATGTCCGTCTGTCCGTCTCGATGAGCGCCTGGATCTCAGAGACTATAAGAGCTAGAGAAACCAAATTTGGTTTCCAGACTCATGTGATATCACACTACTACAAGTGTATTTCAAAATACACACCACAATGGACGAAAATCTGTGGCAGGCACAGTTTTAAAGATACAATAAAACTAAAAACGCAGTATCGTAGAAAATGATCATATCTACCAGATTGCCGAATCTGAATCAGATCGGATCATAATTATAGTTAGAATGAAGAAATTAATTTTCTGTTAGTTCTTCCGCCCCCTCCTGCCAGAGACCCGCTACCTATCTCTTTCTCGCTCGCACACTCTGCCGCGTTCCTGAGGACGTATCATATAAATGGAACATGTACAATCTACATGTTAGATGTAGAATATACATTGTAGATGTAGATATCAGATGTAGCAAAAAAATGTAATATGTAAAATTTTTTTTTATTTTAAAATTCTAAAAAATCATATGCTTAAAAATGTATGTATATACTGACTGAGTACGGGTATAAGTAGAGTCGCGTCCCCAGAAGCGACTCGCGCTTCCTTCTTCCTTTTTTCCTATAGCTTTTGCTTTCTCTCCATTTTCTTTTTCTGAATTGCTTTTTAATTTTGCTTTTTTTTCTGTTTTCTTTTTTCATTTAGTATTTTTTTTATTGTTTATTTTTTTTTTGGGTTTTCTTTTAATTTTTCGTTTTTTTAGCTTTACTTTTTTGGTTATCATAAAATTTCTTATTTTCTGCTGTTGATTTTTCAGATTTTCTAAGAGTTTTCTTCTTCAGGTTTGTATTTTTCCATTGTTGTTTCCTCTGATTTTTCTTCCGTTTTCTCTTCATCAGATTTTTCAGATGTTTCTTTCGCTTCCTCTTCCTCTTCTTCAGATTTAGTTTTTTCCATTGTTGCAACTTCGGATTTTTCTTTCGTTTCGTCTTCATAAAATTGTTCGTTTTCTGATCTTGATTTTTTAGATGCTTCTTCCGCTGCCTCTTCTTCAGATTTAGGTTTTTCCATTGTTGCTTCCTCGGAATTTTCATCTGTTTTCTCTATATCTGATGTTGATTTTTCAGATGTTTCTGTAAAATTTTCTTCTTCAGATTTTGGGTTTTCCATTGTTGCTTCCACTGATTTTTCTTCCGTTTTCTCTTCATCAGATTTTTCAGATGTTTCTTTCGCTTCCTCTTCCTCTTCTTCAGATTTAGTTTTTTCCATTGTTGCAACTTCTGATTTTTCTTTCGTTTCGTCTTCATAAAATTTTTCCTTTTCTGATCTTGATTTTTTAGATGTTTCTTCCGTTTCCTCTTCTTTAGATTTAGGTTTTCCCATTGTTGCTTCTTCTGATTTTTCTTCCGCTTCCTGTTCTTCAGAACGTTCGTTTTCTGGTCTTTCATCAGATTTTTCCGATATAGGGTTTTTGTTTGTTGCTTCTTCTAAAATTTTTGTTGTTTTCTCTTCTACAGATTTAGTTGTTGCCAAGAAGGCTTTTTCTTCTTCAGAACTTTCTTTTTCTGTTGTTGATTTTTCAGAACTTTCTTCTTTAGATTTTGGCTTTTTGGTTGTTGATTCATCCAATTTTTCTTTTGCTTTCTCTACCACCAAATTGGCCTTTTCTGTTGTTACCTCTGATTTTTCCTCTTCAGATTTTGGTTTTTCTGTTGATTCTTCCTTCGATCTGTATTCTTCTGCTGATTTGTGTTTCTCTGTTGGTTCTTTCTTCGATGTTTCTTCCGTAGCTTTGGGTTTCTCTGTTGTGTTTTCCTTCGATGTGCCTTCTGCTGACTTGGGTTTATCTGTGGGTTGTTTCTTCGATGTGTCTTCTGCTGACTTGGGTTTTTCTGTTGGTTGTTTCTTCGATGTTTCTTTTGCTGGTTTGGGATTAGCTGCTGGTTGTTTCTTCCACGTGTCTTCTGCTGACTTGGGCATCTTTATTGGTTCTTTCTTCGATGTTTCTTTTGCTGGTTTGGGATTAGCTGCTGGTTGTTTCTTCCATGTGTCTTCTACTGACTTGGGTTTCTCTGTTGGTTCTTTCTTCGATGTTTCTTTTGCTGGTTTGGGATTAGCTGCTGGTTGTTTCTTCCATGTGTCTTCTGCTGACTTGGGCATCTTTATTGGTTCTTTCTTCGATGTTTCTTTTGCTGGTTTGGGATTAGCTGCTGGTTGTTTCTTCCATGTGTCTTCTGCTGACCTTGGAATCTTTATTGGTTCTTTCTTCGATGTTTCTTTTGCTGGTTTGGGATTAGCTGCTGGTTGTTTCTTCCATGTGTCTTCTGCTGACTTGGGCATCTTTATTGGTTCTTTCTTCGATGTTTCTTTTGCTGGTTTGGGATTAGCTGCTGGTTGTTTCTTCCATGTGTCTTCTGCTGACTTGGGGATCTTTATTGGTTCTTTCTTCGATGTTTTTTTTGCTGGTTTGGGATTAGCTGCTGGTTGTTTCTTCCATGTGTCTTCTGCTGACTTGGGGATCTTTATTGGTTCTTTCTTCGATGTTTCTTTTGCTGGTTTGGGATTAGCTGCTGGTTGTTTCTTCCATGTGTCTTCTGCTGACTTGGGCATCTTTATTGGTTCTTTCTTCGATGTTTCTTTTGCTGGTTTGGGATTAGCTGCTGGTTGTTTCTTCCATGTGTCTTCTGCTGACTTGGGGATCTTTATTGGTTCTTTCTTCGATGTTTTTTTTGCTGGTTTGGGATTAGCTGCTGGTTGTTTCTTCCATGTGTCTTCTGCTGACTTGGGGTTCTCTGTTGGTTCTTTCTTCGATGTTTCTTTTGCTGGTTTGGGATTAGCTGCTGGTTGTTTCTTCCATGTGTCTTCTGCTGACTTGGGTTTCTCTGTTGGTTCTTTCTTCGATGTTTCTTTTGCTGGTTTGGGATTAGCTGCTGGTTGTTTCTTCCATATGTCTTCTGCTGACTTGGGTTTCTCTGTTGGGTTTACCTTCGATGTTTCTTTTGCTGGTTTGGGGTTAGCTGCTGGTTGTTTCTTCCATGTGTCTTCTGCTGACTTGGGGATCTTTATTGGTTCTTTCTTCGATGTTTCTTTTGCTGGTTTGGGGTTAGCTGCTGGTTGTTTCTTCCATGTGTCTTCTGCTGACTTGGATTTCTCTGTTGGGTTTACCTTCGATGTTTCTTTTGCTGGTTTGGGATTAGCTGCTGGTTGTTTCTTCCATATGTCTTCTGCTGACTTGGGCATCTTTATTGGTTCTTTCTTCGATGTTTCTTTTGCTGGTTTGGGATTAGCTGCTGGTTGTTTCTTCCATGTGTTTTCTGCTGACTTGGGGATCTTTATTGGTTCTTTCTTCGATGTTTCTTTTGCTGGTTTGGGATTAGCTGCTGGTGGTGTCTTCCATGTGTCTTCTGCTGACTTGGGGTTCTCTGTTGGTTCTTTTTTCGATGTTTCTTCCGTAGCTTTATGGTTCTCTGTTGTTTCTTTCTTTGATGTTTCTTCTGCCGATTTGAGTTTCTCTGTTTGCTCTTCAATCGCTGTATCTTTTTCTAATTTAGGTTTCTCTGGATGGTATTCTTCTGATGTTTCTTCTTCTTGTGGTGTCCCTGTCTGTGTTTCTTCAGTTGTGTCATCTTCTTTTTCTGATTTTGGATTCTCTGTTGGTTCGTCTATTGATGTTTCTTCTGCAGATTGGGGTTTCTTTGTCGGTTCTTCAATCGCATTATCTTCTTCTGATTTAGGTTTCTCTGTTGGGTATTCTTCAGTTACTGGGGTTTGGGGTTTCTTTGTTGGTTCTTCAACCGCTTTATCTTCTTCTGATTTAGGCTTCTCTGTTGGGTATTCTTCAGTTACTTCAAGTGGTGTCCATTTCTGTGTTTCTTCAGTTTTGTCTTCTTCTTTTTCTGATTTTGGATTCTCTGTTGGTTCGTCTACTGTTGCTTCTGTTGCGGATGGGGGTTTCTTTGTTGGTTCTTCAATCGCTTTATCTTCTTCTGATTTAGGTTTCTCTGTTGGGTATTCTTCAGTTACTTCTTGTTCAAATGGTCTCCATGTCTGTGTTTCTTCTGTTTTGTCTTCTTCTTTTTCTGATTTTGGATTCTCTGTTGGTTTGTCTATTGATGTTTCTTCTGCGGATTGGGGTATCTTTGTCGGTTCTTCAATCGCTTTATCTTCTTCTGATTTAGGTTTCTCTGTAGGGTATTCTTCAGTTACTGGGGTTTGGGGTTTCTTTGTTGGTTCTTCAACCGCTTTATCTTCTTCTGATTTGGGCTTCTCTGTTGGGTATCCTTCAGTTACTTCAAGTGGTGTCCATTTCTGTGTTTCTTCAGTTTTGTCTTCTTCTTTTTCTGATTTTGGATTCTCTGTTGGTTCGTCTACTGTTACTTCTGTTGCGGATGGGGGTTTCTTTGTTGGTTCTTCAACCGCTTTATCTTCTTCTGATTTAGGCTTCTCTGTTGGGTATTCTTCAGTTACTTCAAGTGGTGTCCATTTCTGTGTTTCTTCAGTTTTGTCTTCTTCTTTTTCTGATTTTGGATTCTCTGTTGGTTCGTCTACTGTTGCTTCTGTTGCGGATGGGGGTTTCTTTGTTGGTTCTTCAATCGCTTTATCTTCTTCTGATTTAGGTTTCTCTGTTGGGTATTCGTTAGTTAATTCTTCATCAAGTGGTGCCCATGTCTGTGTTTCTTCAGTTTTGTCTTCTTCTTTTTCTGATTTTGGATTCTCTGTTGGTTCGTCTACTGTTGCTTCTGTTGCGGATGGGGGTTTCTTTGTTGGTTCTTCAACCGCTTTATCTTCTTCTGATTTAGGCTTCTCTGTTGGGTATTCTTCAGTTACTTCAAGTGGTGTCCATTTCTGTGTTTCTTCAGTTTTGTCTTCTTCTTTTTCTGATTTTGGATTCTCTGTTGGTTCGTCTACTGTTGCTTCTGTTGCGGATGGGGGTTTCTTTGTTGGTTCTTCAACCGCTTTATCTTCTTCTGATTTAGGCTTCTCTGTTGGGTATTCTTCAGTTACTTCAAGTGGTGTCCATTTCTGTGTTTCTTCAGTTTTGTCTTCTTCTTTTTCTGATTTTGGATTCTCTGTTGGTTCGTCTACTGTTGCTTCTGTTGCGGATGGGGGTTTCTTTGTTGGTTCTTCAACCGCTTTATCTTCTTCTGATTTAGGCTTCTCTGTTGGGTATTCTTCAGTTACTTCAAGTGGTGTCCATTTCTGTGTTTCTTCAGTTTTGTCTTCTTCTTTTTCTGATTTTGGATTCTCTGTTGGTTCGTCTACTGTTGCTTCTGTTGCGGATGGGGGTTTCTTTGTTGGTTCTTCAACCGCTTTATCTTCTTCTGATTTAGGCTTCTCTGTTGGGTATTCTTCAGTTACTTCAAGTGGTGTCCATTTCTGTGTTTCTTCAGTTTTGTCTTCTTCTTTTTCTGATTTTGGATTCTCTGTTGGTTCGTCTACTGTTGCTTCTGTTGCGGATGGGGGTTTCTTTGTTGGTTCTTCAACCGCTTTATCTTCTTCTGATTTAGGCTTCTCTGTTGGGTATTCTTCAGTTACTTCAAGTGGTGTCCATTTCTGTGTTTCTTCAGTTTTGTCTTCTTCTTTTTCTGATTTTGGATTCTCTGTTGGTTCGTCTACTGTTGCTTCTGTTGCGGATGGGGGTTTCTTTGTTGGTTCTTCAACCGCTTTATCTTCTTCTGATTTAGGCTTCTCTGTTGGGTATTCTTCAGTTACTTCAAGTGGTGTCCATTTCTGTGTTTCTTCAGTTTTGTCTTCTTCTTTTTCTGATTTTGGATTCTCTGTTGGTTCGTCTACTGTTGCTTCTGTTGCGGATGGGGGTTTCTTTGTTGGTTCTTCAACCACTTTATCTTCTTCTGATTTAGGCTTCTCTGTTGGGTATTCTTCAGTTACTTCAAGTGGTGTCCATTTTTGTGTTTCTTCAGTTTTGTCTTCTTCTTTTTCTGATTTTGGATTCTCTGTTGGTTCGTCTACTGTTGCTTCTGTTGCGGATGGGGGTTTCTTTGTTGGTTCTTCAACCGCTTTATCTTCTTCTGATTTAGGCTTCTCTGTTGGGTATTCTTCAGTTACTTCAGGCGGTGTCCATGTCTGTGTTTCTTCAGTTTTGTCTTCTTCTTTTTCTGATTTTGGATTCTCTGTTGGTTCATCTATTGATGTTTCTTCTGCGGATGGGGGTTTCTTTGTTGGTTCTTCAACCGCTTTATCTTCTTCTGATTTAGGCTTCTCTGTTGGGTATTCTTCAGTTACTTCAAGTGGTGTCCATTTCTGTGTTTCTTCAGTTTTGTCTTCTTCTTTTTCTGATTTTGGATTCTCTGTTGGTTCGTCTACTGTTGCTTCTGTTGCGGATGGGGGTTTCTTTGTTGGTTCTTCAACCGCTTTATCTTCTTCTGATTTAGGCTTCTCTGTTGGGTATTCTTCAGTTACTTCAGGCGGTGTCCATGTCTGTGTTTCTTCAGTTTTGTCTTCTTCTTTTTCTGATTTTGGATTCTCTGTTGGTTCGTCTTCTTTTTCTGATTTTGGATTCTCTGTTGGTTCATCTATTGATGTTTCTTCTGCGGATTGGGGTTTCTTTGTTGGTTCTTCAACCGCTTTATCTTCTTCTGACTTAGGCTTCTCTGTTGGGTATTCTTCAGTTACTTCAAGTGGTGTCCATTTCAGTGTTTCTTCAGTTTTGTCTTCTTCTTTTTCTGATTTTGGATTCTCTGTTGGTTCGTCTACTGTTGCTTCTGTTGCGGATGGGGGTTTCTTTGTTGGTGTTTCAATCGCTTTATCTTCTTCTGATTTAGGTTTCTCTGTTGGGTCTTCGTTAGTTAATTCTTCATCAAGTGGTGCCCATGTCTGTGTTTCTTCAGTTTTGTCTTCTTCTTTTTCTGATTTTGGATTCTCTGTTGGTTCGTCTATTGATGTTTCTTCTGCGGATTGGGGTATCTTTGTCGGTTCTTCAAACGCTATGTCTTCTTCTGATTTAGGTTTCTCTGTTGGGTATTCTTCAGTTACTGGGGTTTGGGGTTTCTTTGTTGGTTTTTCAACCGCTCTATCTTCTTCTGATTTAGGCTTCTCTGTTGGGTATTCTTCAGTTACTTCAAGTGGTGTCCATTTCTGTGTTTCTTCAGTTTTGTCTTCTTCTTTTTCTGATTTTGGATTCTCTGTTGGTTCGTCTACTGTTGCTTCTGTTGCGGATGGGGGTTTCTTTGTTGGTTCTTCAATCGCTGTATCTTCTTCTGATTTAGGTTTCTCTGTTGGGTATTCTTCAGTTAATTCTTCTTCAAGTGGTGTCCATGTCTGTGTTTCTTCAGTTTTGTCTTCTTCTTTTTCTGATTTTGGATTCTCTGTTGGTTCGTCTACTGTTGCTTCTGTTGGGGGGGTTCTGGTTGGGGGGGGGGGGGTGGGTTTCTTCTGCTTGGTTGGTGTTTCAATCGCTTTATCTTCTTCTGATTTAGGTTTCTCTGTTGGGTATTGGTTAGTTAATTCTTCATCAAGTGGTGCCCATGTCTGTGTTTCTTCAGTTTTGACTTCTTCTTTTTCTGATTTTGGATTCTCTGTTGGTTCGTCCACTGTTGCTTCCGTTGCGGATGGGGGTTTCTTTGTTGGTTCTTCAATCGCTGTATCTTCTTCTGATTTAGGTTTCTCTGTTGGGTATTCTTCAGTTAATTCTTCTTCAAGTGGTGTCCATGTCTGTGTTTCTTCAGTTTTGTCTTCTTCTTTTTCTGATTTTGGATTCTCTGTTTGTTCGTCTATTGATGTTTCTTCTGCGGATTGCGGTTTCTTTGTTGGTTCTTCAATCGCTGTATCTTCTTCTGATTTAGGTTTGTCTGTTGGGTATTCTTCAGTTAATTCTTCTTCAAGTGGTGTCCATGTCTGTGTTTCTTCAGTTTTGTCTTCTTCTTTTTCTGATTTTGGATTCTCTGTTTGTTCGTCTATTGATGTTTCTTCTGCGGATTGGGGTTTCTTTGTCGGTTCTTCAATCGCTGTGTCTTCTTCCGATTTGGATTTCTCTGTTGGGTATTCTTCAGTTAATTCTTCTTCAAATGGTGACCATGTCTGTGTTTCTTCAGTTTTGTCTTCTTCTTTTTCTGATTTTGGATTCTCTGTTGGTTCGTCTATTGATGTTTCTTCTGTATCTTCTTCTGATTTAGGTTTCTCTGTTGGGTATTCTACAGTAAATTCTTCTTCAGGTGGTGTCCATGTCTGTGTTTCTTCAGTTTTGTCTTCTTCTTTTTCTGATTTTGGATTCTCTGTTGGTTCGTCTATTGATGTTTCTTCTGTATCTTCTTCTGATTTAGGTTTCTCTGTTGGGTATTCTTCAGTAAATTCTTCTTCAGGTGGTGTCCATGTCTGTGTTTCTTCAGTTTTGTCTTCTTCTTTTTCTGATTTTGGATTCTCTGTTGGTTCGTCTATTGATGTTTCTTCTGTATCTTCTTCTGATTTAGGTTTCTCTGTTGGGTATTCTTCAGTAAATTCTTCTTCAGGTGGTGTCCATGTCTGTGTTTCTTCAGTTTTGTCTTCTTCTTTTTCTGATTTTGGATTCTCTGTTGGTTCGTCTATTGATGTTTCTTCTGTATCTTCTTCTGATTTAGGTTTCTCTGTTGGGTATTCTTCAGTTAATTCTTCTTCAAGTGGTGTCCATGTCTGTGTTTCTTCAGTTTTGTCTTCTTCTTTTGGATTCTCTGTTGGTTCGTCTATTGATGTTTCTTCTGTATCTTCTTCTGATTTAGGTTTCTCTGTTGGGTATTCTTCAGTTAATTCTTCTTCAAGTGGTGTCCATGTCTGTGTTTCTTCAGTTTTGTCATCTTCTTTTTCTGATTTTGGATTCTCTGTTGGTTCGTCTATTGATGTTTCTTCTGTATCTTCTTCTGATTTAGGTTTCTCTGTTGGGTATTCTTCAGTTAATTCTTCTTCAAGTGGTGTCCATGTCTGTGTTTCTTCAGTTTTGTCTTCTGATTTTGGATTCTCTGTTGGTTCGTCTATTGATGTTTCTTCTGTATCTTCTTCTGATTTAGGTTTCTCTGTTGGGTATTCTTCAGTTAATTCTTCTTCAAGTGGTGTCCATGTCTGTGTTTCTTCAGTTTTGTCTTCTTCTTTTGGATTCTCTGTTGGTTCGTCTATTGATGTTTCTTCTGTATCTTCTTCTGATTTAGGTTTCTCTGTTGGGTATTCTTCAGTTAATTCTTCTTCAGGCGGTGTCCATGTCTGTGTTTCTTCAGTTTTGTCTTCTTCTTTTTCTGATTTTGGATTCTCTGTTGGTTCGTCTATTGATGTTTCTTCTGCGGATTGGGGTTTCTTTGTTGGTTCTTCAATCGATGTATCTTCTTCTGATTTAGGTTTCTCTGTTGGGTATTCTTCAGTTAATTCTTCTTCCAGTGGTGTCCATGTCTGTGTTTCTTCAGTTTTGTCTTCTTCTTTTTCTGATTTTGGATTCTCTGTTGGTTCGTCTATTGATGTTTCCTCTGCGGATTGGGGTTTCTTTGTTGGTTCTTCAATCGCTGTATCTTCTTCTGATTTAGGTTTCCCTGTTGGGTATTTTTCAGTTAATTCTTCTTCAAGTGGTGTCCATGTCTGTATTTCTTCAGTATTGTCTTCTTCTTTTTCTGATTTTGGATTGTCTGTTGGTTCGTCTATTGATGTTTCTTCTGCGGATTGGGGTTTCTTTGTTGGTTCTTCAATCGCTGTATCTTCTTCTGATTCAGGTTTCTCTGTTGGGATTTCTTCAGTTAATTCTTCTTCAAGTGGTGTCCATGTCTGTGTTTCTTCAGTTTTGTCTTCTTCTTTTTCTGATTTTGGATTCTCTGTTGGTACGTCTATTGATGTTTCTTCTGCGGATTGGGGTTTCTTTGTTGGTTCTTCAATCGCTGTATCTTCTTCTGATTTAGGTTTCTCTGTTGGGTATTCTTCAGTTAATTCTTCTTCAAGTGGTGTCCATGTCTGTGTTTCTTCAGTTTTGTCTTTTTCTTTTTCTGATTTTGGATTCTCTGTTGGTTCGTCTATTGATGTTTCTTCTGCGGATTGGGGTTTCTTTGTTGGTTCTTCAATCGCTGTATCATCTTCTGATTTAGGTTTCTCTGTTGGGTATTCTTCAGTTAATTCTTCTTCAAGTGGTGTCCATGTCTGTGTTTCTTCAGTTTTGTCTTCTTCTTTTTCTGATTTTGGATTCTCTGTTGGTTCGTCTATTGATGTTTCTTCTGCGGATTGGGGTTTCTTTGTTGGTTCTTCAATCGCTGTATCTTCTTCTGATTTAGGTTTTTCTGTTGGATATTCTTCAGTTAATCCTTCTTCAAGTGCTGTCCATGTCTGTGATTCTTCAATTTTGTCTTCTTCTTTTTCTGATTTTGGATGCTCTGTTGGTTTGTCTATTGATGTTTCTTCTGCGGATTGGGGTTTCTTTGTTGGTTCTTCAATCGCTGTATCTTCTTCTGATTTAGGTTTTTGTGTTGGGTATTCTTCAGTTAATTCTTCTTCAAGTGGTGTCCATGTCTGTGTTTCTTCAGTTTTGTCTTCTTCTTTTTCTGATTTTGGATTCTCTGTGGGTTCGTCTATTAATGTTTCTTCTGCGGATTGGGGTGTCTTTGTTGGTTGATCAATCGCTTTATCTTTTTCTGATTTAGGTTTCTCTGTTGGGTATTCTTCAGTTAATCCTTCTTCAAGTGCTGTCCATGTCTGTGATTCTTCAATTTTGTCTTCTTCTTTTTCTGATTTTGGATGCTCTGTTGGTTTGTCTATTGATGTTTCTTCTGCGGATTGCGGTTTCTTTGTTGGTTCTTCAATCGCTGTATCTTCTTCTGATTTAGGTTTTTGTGTTAGGTATTCTTCAGTTAATTTTTCTTCAAGTGGTGCCCATGTCTGTGTTTCTTCAGTTTTGTCTTCTCCTTTTTCTGACTTTGGATTCTCTGTTGGTTCGTCTATTGATGTTTCTTCTGCGGATTGGGGTTTCTTTGTTGGTTCTTCAATCGCTGTATCTTCTTCTGATTTAGGTTTCTCTGTTGGGTATTCTTCAGTTAATCCTTCTTCAAGTGCTGTCCATGTCTGTGATTCTTCAATTTTGTCTTCTTCTTTTTCTGATTTTGGATGCTCTGTTGGTTTGTCTATTGATATTTCCTCTGCGGATTGCGGTTTCTTTGTTGGTTCTTCAATCGCTGTATCTTCTTCTGATTTAGGTTTCTCTGTTGGGTATTCTTTTGATGTTTCTTCTTCTTGTAGTGTCCATGTCTGTGATTCTTCAGTCGTGCCATCTTTTTCTTCTGATTTGGGTTTCTCTGTTTGTTCTTCCTTCGATGAGTCCTTTTCTGATGTGGATATCGCGGTTATTTCTTCTTCTGTGGTTTCTTCTTCTGTTGTGTCTTCTTGTGGAGTTGCTTTTTCTTTCGTTGCTTCTTCTGTTGTGGCTTCTTCTGTTGTTTCTTCTTCTGTTGTGGCTTCTTCTGGTGTTGCTTTTTCTGTCCCTTCTGTGGTTCTCTTCTGTTGTGGCTTCTGGGCCCGGGGCCGGCCCGGGCCGGTGTTGCTTTTCTTTTGTTCCTTTCTGTTGTTTCTTTTTCTGTTGTTGCTTCTTCTGTTGTGGCTTCTTCTGTTGTTTCTTCTTCTGTTGTTGCTTCTTCTGTGTTGGCTTCTTGTGGGGTTGCTTTTTCTTTCGTTGATTCTTCTGTTGTTTGTTCTTCTGTTGTGGCTTCTTCTGTTGTTTCTTCTTCTGGTGTGGCTTCTTCTGGTGTTGCTTTTTCTGTCGTTGCAACTTCTGTTGTTTCTTCTTCTGTTGTTGCTTCTTCTGTGTTGGCTTCTTGTGGTGTTGCTTTTTCTTTCGTTGCTTCTTCTGTTGTGGCTTCTTCTGGTGTTATTTTTTCTGTCGTTGCACCTTCTGTTGTTTCTTCTTCTGTTGTGGCTTCTTCTTTTGTTGCTTCTTTTGTTGTTGCTTCTTCTGGTGTTGCTTTTTCTGTCGTTGCACCTTCTGTTGTTGCTTCTTCTGTTGTGGCTTCTTGTGGTGTTGCTTTTTCTTTCGTTGCTTCTTCTGTTGTTTCTTCTTCTGTTGTGGCTTCTTTTGTTGATGTTTTTGTTGATTTTTCTGTAGTTGCTTCTTCTGTTGTTGATTTGTCTGTTGTTACTTTTTCTATTGATTTTTCTGCTGATGATTCTTTTGACTTCTCTTCTGTGTAATATTCTTTTGATGAGTCCTTTGACGTCTCGTCTGTGTAATATTCTGTTTCCTCACTTTCTTTTTTCACAATTGTTTCGCACCATGGTTCTTTCTTAATTTTATGACATTCACCCTCCACAATCTGATGGGGTTTATAAGCTATGTTTGTAAATAATTAGTATAAAATAAAAAATTACAAATAAATTACTCACGGGGTAACTTCGCCAGCTTTCTCAAACACTTAACAAGATCGTATGTACAATTTGACGGTATTGTAAACCAGCACTTTCGTTGTTCATCTAATGCACAAAAAGGCTGTACGAAATCTCTTCGTTGGAGACACGTTTCAAAACACTTAATTTTGCCACTATGTCGTCCTTCAATGGTAATCAGAACTTGAGAGAAATATAGGGAACATTAAGATATTGCCACATAAATTATTCTTCCATCTGGCGAGATTACCTAAAAGAGTGAGCAGATGCGACCTCATGGTTAAAGGATAAACCACAAGTCCCAAAGACTACCGTAGAACTAATGTGGAGACTAGATTTTTCTTCTACGCCCGATTTGTTTCGGATTTGATATGCCTTTCCGTTTAGTAATTGAATGTGATTTGACGTACGTTGATACGATATGGTATTATGGTAGGTATAAACGTAAAAGTACTTAGTATGTATTTGACTAGTAAAACATTTTCATGAAATATCCACAGCAATAGTTTCATTTTATTAAATAAAATTAATATATAAATAGAAAAAAAAATTTTTTTTTAATATTATTTAAATTTTTGTTATAAACCTAAATTTTTTTTAATATAAATTAAATTTTTGTAATATATGTATATAAATATTATTAATAAAATTAAAAATTGTATTTTTGAACGCATTTTTTTATCATTATTTAAATTTAAACATATTTTTATTCATTTTTTTGTGACCTACTTTAATTCGTTAAACTAACGATAACAATTATTTATCCAATAAGCAATGGGTGTTTCAACGGCTCTTGGTTAGATGTTAGGCGGCCTGGCAGGGCAGTTGTTCCGAAGGATAGATTAAGTTGAATACAATTGACAAAGTTTAGCTGAAAAATCTTCATAGAAATGCTGTTCAAACAACATCAGCTAATCCACCATCAACACATTTGCGAGTGTCTGGTCCAACGGTTCTCTCTCTCTCTCTCTCGCTAAATTCAGCAAACAATTTCCAGTCAATTGTGTACGGACATTTCCCATTTCAATGCAATACCTATAGAAGCTCTCTTCGGTTTTGATTCTGTACTGTTCTGCTGATTCCTGGTTCTGGTACTCGTTTTCGTTCTGGTCCTCCTCCTTCATCTTGTTCTTGTTCTTGTTGTGGTTTAATGGATTTGCAGTTTGCAGTTCCTTAACAATTCAATGTTATTTTCGCCTTTTTTTTTTGCGTTTCCCTTTTCGCGCTTTGCCTTTTTCGTGTTGGAGTAGAATTTCCTCAACATTTTCTTCTTATCCTTTTTCACCATTCTACTATTTTTTTTTTCGTTGTATTTTGGTAATTGCTGGCCATTGTTGGTGCTGGCTGCAGCGATTGCAGGGCGAACTTTCCCCAATGGAGTTCGAAATTGTGGAGCATTGTGCGAGCAAAGTAAACTCTTTAAATATCCCCCGGACGAGCTGCTAACCTGCGCCCCCAACACAGTTATCAATCGAAGACAAAATCAAGGGTAAACTTTACTTATTTCTCCCCCGTTGGGTGGGCAAAATCTGTGCCAGCAAATTAACTCGTACCCAAACACGTATCTAATTTCATTTTCACTACATGTGAGGCACGGGGCGGGCACGGCACATAAAAAACTAATTCAAAGCGCTCAATATAATTTATATCCTATCTGGACAACAAACAAGCCAACAAAAAAACAGGAAAGGAATCGTACAGAACAAAGCTGGGAAGGGGGAAAAAAAGGGACCAAAGGGAACAGGGGACAGGGACCTGCGAAACGATGCTCAATCGCACACAGCAATCAGGCCAAAAAGGCGAAAGAAATTTTTTTTTGTAATTTTTATGACCCCAAAAGACACATCAATTCCGAAGGGCAGAGATCTCCCCGAACAGAAAAGGACACACACTCGAACAAAGAGAAAGACACCCAGAGAAAGAGAAGAGGTGTTGCCATAGCCGAAGGAAACTTATTTAAAGATGTAAGCGCAATAAAATAAAATAATAAAAATACAACTTTTGCCACCCCCCACGACAGCCTCCCGCCATTCGTTCGTTTGTTTGTTTTGCTCTTCTTGGGGCATGGAACAGACAGATGGACGGACGCCTCTACTCCTCGATTCTCGACTATAAACTGTTCCAAGTTCCATGTTATCTAAAGTGTTAAATCACCTGATGCCGTCAGCATGAAATTTACGCACATAAATCTTTCGAGGGCCAGGCCCAAGTCCAAAACTGAGAATCGTCGCTTCCAAAAAAAAAAAGCAAAACATAAAATAAAAGGAATGAAAAAAAACATAAACCAAACATAAGCAGGACACGGGCCGAAAAAAAAAACAACAGAACAGGCAACAACTTTTGGGCTAGAAAACGAGGGTTGCCTGAGAATTGGCACTACTACAGGGTGGGAGAAACTTCCTTCACGGACTCTGTTCATCATAGGGAGAATTCCTAGAGCAACCCTCTGCATATGAGTTGTTTAAAAAGGTTGCCCGAGTAGGCCGTTGACAGTCTACAGTCCCAGACTGAAGAGCGTGCTTCCATTTTCACCCTATTCCTGCCACTCCGTGCCACACCGGGCTATGTGTGGGGTGTTGTGCGGTTGGGGGGGGGGTCAAAAAAAGGTTACGTGTGCGAATGCGTGAGGGGCAAAGTCTTGGTCCGACTTAGTTTGTGTATATTTTATAGCTTTATAAAAGCGCTTTGACCTGTCGAAGTTGATCGGGGTCCCAGGGTCAATGCCGAGAGATGCATGGAGGTTCAACATGTCTGGATTTTCGGGGGCTATCATATGCCCATTGCCCCATTGATTGATGCGGGTGATGGGGCCTATGATGGTGTTGCAGGGGTTTGTCGAGTTGTGTAGGGCGATTGAGATTGGAAGGAAGTGCGCGTGATGGGTCTTGTGGGATGGGAAATGGGAGATGGGAGATGGAGCTGTTCAAATAGTTTCGCAATTGCTTGCCATTCAAGCCAACTCAGCTCGATTGCTTCTGCTTTTGTTTTGTGCCGTTGTCGCTGATGCTGCCACTTTTCCAACCAATAGTCCTCGTACTCGTACTTCTCTTTTTTTTTTTGCTTTTCTTTGCCCGTCTACTTGATGTTTTCTAACGACAAAAGCGTTAAACTTTTGCCCCCTCACCGTGCACCTGGCACCTGGAAATTGGCTGGATTAGAGGCAGATGCGGGGGAGGAGCCCTATCAGTGGCAGTGGCAACATCAGCCAACAGCAAAATCAACAAACGGCGCAGTAAAACAGCAGCAAAGCCAGCGGAAAAATAAGAGAAAATTGTTAAGAATAATTTGTAGAAAATTATTCGTGGGTAGAATACCCTGTACAAAGTAATCTATACTATCGAATCCTTATCATTTTCGGTAGATGGATGAGTACTCTACCACATTGGAATCCCATATATCTTTAAATTGTAGACCCCCCCATTTAATTATTTGAGACACCTTTTTTCTCATTTTGGGCTGTGCAAATAATTATTTATATTATAAATTATAATATAATATAATATAATATAATATAATATTATTGATACATCACAAAAATATAAATACAAGTCTACCAAAAAGAAGCAACAAAACTTTAGTTTTACGAAATTTCTTAAATTAAAAAAAATTTACATTCTTTATGGAGAACAGGCTCCGATAAATTTTGTTAAACTTGTATCTACTCTTACATTGTCTAACGCATACGTTATCCGAGTATGCCCAGGGATTACTGGGCATGGAAAAAAACACAGTAACTGGCATTATAACACAAACAAAAACAGGAAAACGATGCGCATTGCAGTAGAGGGGGCCCAGACTGGAGAGTATTGGAGTTAGGCAGCTATGCTGTACAAGGTACGTTGCAGGGGGTTCAGGCTAAGGGCAAGGGTAAGGGCAATGGGCGATGGGCGATGGGCATGGGGGGATGCTTTGGCAAACGGTTAATGTAATGAAAATGGCTGGCGACAATAAAAACAATATTCGCTGCTTGGTATCGAGTCTGGTGCCGCGATGACGACATTTATGCGACTCTGCCAATTGGTTAAAGTTACACTTTTCTTTCCCTACTTTCTCCCCTCTTCTTGAGCAGTGTTTTCCCAAAGCGTTTTAGCTCTCAACGATCAACTCAAAGGTGAAGGAGCTTGGGGGTGGCTTGGGCTAAAGGAAGGGCCATAATTTTTAATGACACTCGTAAGAAAATGATTCAAATGGGCCACAGTTTGCTGCAGAATGAACAGCTGTTCGCAGTTGAGTTTCAACTGAGAAAAATGAAACAGGAAACGGAATAATGACCACCTCAGGCAGAAGGAAGATACGGAATGCCTTGTGTAGATGTAAGGGACATGACAATGGATATGGCCTATCAAAAAATAAATTTAAGCCACAAATTGAAACAATTTCATTCAGATAAAAAATGCATTAGTAAGCAGTAATTAAAAAATCCAATAAACCCTTTAAAACACGTGCTAAAACCCCTCTACAAAGTCACCTTAAATCATGATACCTGTGATGCTTCACTGTTTAAAAGATTTCGTTTCGTTTCTCGGTTCAGTTATCTGTTTGGGAATGTTACCCCAGAGACCTCTAACAATGCTAAAATCGAAATGAAAGAGATGGCAAAAGGCAAACAGAAAGAGTTAACAAGAGTCAGAGAGAGAGAGAGAGAGAGAGAGAGGAAGACGAAGCAAAGCCAAGAGTTGCCTGCGGAATTACCTTGGCAAAAACTTGCCGACAACTTTGTGCATTTGCCCCCTGGAATCTCTGCCCCCAATAGACTGTTTTTGTGTGTGTGTGTGTGTGGCAACATGGTTGCAGCCAATAATGAAAAACTACTTCAACATGCAATAAAGCAAAGTGGCAGGTTTTTTGAAAGCAGAATACGAATAATAATGAATTAATTGATTACAGTTTAAATGGGTAGCAAAGCCCCCAGGAGAAGGTCGTCCATTGAGGGGGGGCACTTCTACAAATAGAATGCCCCATTGAAAAAGGTGCAATCAAAGAGCGAAAACAAACTCTAAAAGCCGGCACACATCAAGGGTATAATAGGATGAAAAACCCGCAATGAACTTTACCTAATGAAAGGTATTTTGATACCCAAATAGAGATACATATATGTACATATACATATATATTGCCACACGCTCTAATGCTGCTACTAGTGCTCCTCTCACCACTGTGGAGCCATCCTCCCGCCCATCAAAAAACTAGAAATACTCGTTCAAGAGGCAGTCTAATTAAAATTTAATTGCACATCTAAACGAAATTTACAATAAACAAGAGGATAGTGTGGGGCCATGGCGATGGCGATGGCATTCGAACCCAACAAGCGAGCGCTCAATAAGCGTGTTCGTTGGGGTGTGGGGTGAGGGCGCAAAGATAGACAGCCAAATATCACGCATACGCAGGGATGTACGCGTGCAATGAATCCACATCGTTGGAAAAGAAAGAACAATCACTTGATGAAAGCTAGAGGATACACTATTCTAAAAGAAGGAAAATGGAGGGGCGCAGGAAGCAAATGAAAGTTAATGAAACATTCCCCCCATGGGAGGCATTTCCTTGGGGTGGTGGAGTTCATACGTTTGGGTAGCAAATACCTTGTGGTAAGTGCAAAGCTTAAAGCTAATACTTTAAACAGCAAAAATGTAGAATTACCATTTAAATCCGCACACCCCACTAATTACAGGGTATTGGAATGCTATTACTTCATATTAAATTCAATTGCATAATGCAGGAATGCAGCTGTCTGGATGGCAAGTGGTAGAGAAACACCCTCGAATATACATACATATATGTACATATGTATGTAGCATGTACGATTTTTGGGACAGATGGACAAAAACATTTTACCCAAAATACAACATACAATTTTAACCAAAAAAAATACACACACCAGCACGGGGCAGGGCACAGGGCACACGGCACACATAGACATAGATGGAGTGTTGTAGTTCATAGAAAACTCTGCGCCAAAAACTATTCTTTACATAATTTATACAAAATTTGTGCACTAATTGCAATAGTTAATGCAGATTTCAACCGCATTTGAATGTTGTACGTGCCATGGCGCCTGCATAGCACCATCATCCTCTCTCCTGACTGCCGCCACCCGCTTGCTGCTGGTGCTACTGACCAGCGACCGCAAAATATCTCATTTACATACAACGGACAGAAGGACACCCGCACTGGGGATACGAATACAGATAGGCAGGAGGAAGGGAGAGAGAGAGAGAGAGAGCGCCACTGACCAAAGAGTGAACAGCTGTGGACCGCTCATGTGAATTGCATGAAGTGCTGCCACGTGCTACTCCTCCACCTCTCTCCCAGCCTTCTTTTTGCAGCAGCAGCAGTAGCATCAAAGAGAGTGGTGGCCACTGAACCAAACAGTAACACGAGCAACCGCAATTGATTTTCAAGGGGCATGCCACGCGGCAGTGGCGGATGCTGTATCATGTTTGGCGAATAACTGTTCTTTTACCACTTTATTAAATTACACGTTTCGCCCCCCTTCCAGACCCATCCACGAAAACCAATAAAAATAAAAACAAAACAAAAATAAAAACAAAAACAAAACCCTAGACAAGTTTAATATATTTAGATTCTACTCGTTTTTGGGTTGGGGTCGCCCATGTGGGATATTTTAAGCTTCGATGGGGCAAGGAAAATTGTGCATTTAAATATTAATGGGATGGGGAGTGCAGCAAAATCACAGTAGAAATAAAAGAATTTTTTAATGAATATTCTTTGGAAAATCTAGCAAATTTCTACTTCATTTTAAGATTACAAAGAAAATATATTTCTTTAATCGATAAATAAATATTTGTTAAATTAAAAATAAACGTTAAAGTACCCTAAATGATTAAAATACGAAGAATCAGCCAAAGGTCAAAATTATAACTTATTTAAATACTGAAAGATTGTGGGTGTAATTTTTTTTAAACCTTTTTCCAAAATGGTTTTTTTTTATTTGATAAAAAAATAAACAATCAAGATAAAGATAAACGGAACTATGACTTACCAAAATATAACATTTTAGAAGAGTTTTTAGTAACATGAACATAATTTTTCCATCTGAAATAAAGGTGAACGAACTTGATGAATAAACTAATTAATATATTAGTCATAGGAGCATCAATAAAACATTATTTGTAATTTGAAAAAAAAAATTACAACAAATATGATTGATAAAAATTAAATTCTACTTATAAATTATTATTATTTATTTATTTCTTATTTATTCAGAAAATAAAAATATGTTGAATCTGTTAAAACTTTCGTGAATTTGTTTTTAAGCAACCCACACTCTACAATAAAATATAAATATCATTAATTTCCCATTAAATATGCCTATCAAAATATATAAAGGTACATACAGATATACATATAATACAGATGTAAGGGTCTATGGCATATGGAGATGTTTGCATATACATATGTGTGTCTGGACATGTGTATTTAAGTGCTTTATTAAATGCAGTTGCATAATCTTAATTGAGATTGCATAATCATTTCTGGGCAGACAGACACTTTCCAGTCAAGTTGGACAGCTATGCTGCTTCGGTCTGCTGTTAAACTGCCAATTAGTTTAACAACAGCAACTGGAGGAAAGAGTCGGGCAGGGTAGAGTACGGATTCTGGGGTCTAAGGGAAACGGAAAACGGAAACGTAAACGAGGCCGCCATTGAACCAAAACTCCAAACACAGAGACACTAGCAAACATCTAGATGCTGGAGAGTGTGACCCGAGGCTGCCGTTGGCTCTATAGACAGAGAGTGAGTTAGGAGGAACAGAACCAGCAGGGAGGATTGGAGTGGTGGTAAATCACTGGCTAAATAGACAGCCAAAAAGACGTCCGACGTTTTTGGTCAGTTACAGTTACATCAATTGGCAGCAGCAACAGCAGCAGCAACAGCAGCGGCAGACAGTCACACACACACACTGAACCAAATGGACAACAATGGTCTGGGGACATGTTGTTCTGTACTGTTGGCCAGGCCCAAACAGATTCGGAGGAGCACAGACAGACCAGGGAGCGGTGGCAAATGAAGATTATTATCGTTTGGGGGCACCAGTAGCAGGCACCAGTAGCATTTCACACTTTGACTTCAACTCATTCACATTTACGTCACTCCAATGTGCAAGAGGAGGCCCTGGGCCACCCTTACTTTCCCTATAACCATTGTCTCGAACCACTCAAAGAACAAACAGGATTCAGTGGCATTGGTTGGGCGTGGTCTCTGCTGGTTAAAGGACCATTCATGTTGATTATTACACCACTCGAACGCTGGCGAGCGCAGGCGAACGCCTGGCCTGCTCTGGCCTGGCCTGTTTGTTTGCGACAACCGATAGTTAAACAAGAAAAAGCCCCAAAGAGAGCACAAAAATAATGCAAACCAGCAAGCAGTTTTTCATGTTTTATTAGCTCTTGTTTGCATTAACAATTAAGCGCTGGTGTGGCAATGAGTGGGCGGGCCAAACATATACATACATGCATATATACTCGAGTGTATACATTTGAATAGATGCTCCAATTGGAATACCCTTTAGCTGGTCAAGTGAAAAGCCCCACAGCCTCTCCACATTTAATATTTGCATATTTCCGCACAATTTTCATCTGTTTTGAGGTGCAGAGTGGATTTTGGTAAAGGGTTCATTTGATTTGAATTAAATTTTGAATCATTTGAATTTTTGTTTGTGTCGGACAAAATTTGTGGAGTTCTTTTAAAGTATCTGATAACTTTTAGAGTTTAAAAATAATATTTTTGACCATATTTTTAAGGCTTTTGGAGAGTGGAGAAATGGTGGGTGGGTGTGGGTTCTAGAAAATAGATTACAACTCTTAACATCTATTTCTAATCTTTCTGAACTATCTCCTAATGAGCCAGGAAAATTATTTTCTATTCTAAAGATGCTTATTTTCCGCAATTAAAATATAAAATAGTTCATGAAATATCTTTCTATAATAATAAATAAACAATATAAATATTAACAATAATAATAAATAAATAATATAAAAATTAAAAATAATAATAAATAAATAATATAAAAATTAAAAATAATAATAAATAAATAATATAAAAATTCAAAAATAATAAATAAATAATATAAAAATTAAAAATAATAAATAAATAATAATAAAACTCTTTAGTTAAATCATTGAATTAAATTAAATCATTTAAAATATTTAAGGTGTGCTTTAGGTCAGTGCTTTTCCAAGACAAATGCAAAGCATACTGATTATTATGTAACCAAACAGAACTCAGCAGTTTTCGTTTAAAAAAAAAATATACACAAAGTGCAGTTCTTCGTCTTTGTTGCAGTGCATCTTTCAATAGTTTACGACATTGATATTCACGTACCTAATTTTGCCAAAGCCATGAGCCACATGTCCGAAAAAGATATCTGGAAAAAACAGCTCCTATTTTCCTTTTAAAAGGCATTCCAAACTCATTACAATTTCCCCCCCTTTGTCTTCTTTAATATTTCAGTGAAAATCATGCAAAATCGTATCCCAAATATTCCCTCAATCAACTCTCTAATATTGTTTCAGTGCTAAATTGTGAATATTTTGTCTTGAATGCATAAAGAAATTGTTCGCTTTAGAAAGTCAAACTGACCAGTCAAATGATCAATAAGCTAATGGGATGCAACTTTTCATTCTTGACCCAATATGCCAGACACACACCCACACACACACACACCCCAATTTGATGGGGCTTCCTGGCTGTCCAGGGTTGTCCAGCTGCTGGCATGGAGCATGGAGATGTGGAGGAGTGGAGGGGCGTACATTCTGAGCTTTTGAGGCATGCAATGTTTGTGTTTGGTTGCCGCCCACATAAAGTGTTGCCAGAAGTCCAAGCGCTGTGCACCCGAAGCTCTCCTCCAACAACATTCAACATCAAATAAAAAAAATGCTGTACTCTTACCAATGGCTGCTTTTCAGATAGTGTCTGGGTGTCTGTCTGTCTGTCTGTCTGTCAGTTTGTGTGCGTGTGTATTTCCTGCAGGACATACTTATGGATGTGTATGATGCAGTCAAACGGACAATATGAAGTACATACTCGTGTAGAACAAGCTATTCCATTTGAGGCCTTTGAATAATTAATGCCACTAAAAATGTTTCTTCGTGCATGTTGTTGTTGACCCAAGCATTATAATGCAACATTTAGATACATATCTAGCTTTCAAAATGAAGTACATCGAAGTACATACATAGGTACATATACATATACATATATACTCGTAAGAGAGTGTGGCTTGGCAGGTAGTTCCAATGGATTTTCCAACTAAAAGTTGTAGAAGGGGTTTTTAATTTGTAACAATTTTTGGCTTTATTCTATGCAAATGCTTATCCCACAAACGCTTCCCTTTCTTTCAGAGCCTATTTTAAAATAAATAGTATTTTCTAGAAATAATTTCCACTGCAATTTATTGTCCGAAAACTAAGAAAAAAATGTCTTTAAACTCTTCCTATAAAAACAAAAAGTTATCTTAATTAATTTTATAGTAAAGTACAACACTGACCTTTCAGGCAGCGTCAACACTGACCTGCCACTTTTTTTTTTGACAACTAGCATTCGTCAAACAATTCTCCAAGGGTTGTTTGAAGTGCAACAATTGCATGTTATTTTTTAATGATTCAAATAAAATACATCTAAAATATTCATCACACACGAGTGAAACTGTATGCACCCATCTGTGATGTTAAAAATCAAAGCGAAATGTCAAGTTTTTTTTTGTTTTTTTTTTTGAGTAACTTTCTCTACCAAAAAAAAAGTTAAATTTTCGAGTGACATACAAAATATTTCACTCTTTTGTTTTTAGGCATTTTATTTTTGTTGCATAAAAATGTCCAACCACTTGGCACCCCAATGCATTGTGGCGGCAAACTTTAAGTATCTCTTTGTCTAGTGTTTGCCTTTGATGATGTTGGCTAATCTTCAGGGCCATACAATTTATGTGAGATACTTAAATTTTATATAGTTGTCGATAGCCGACAATGGACACAAGGCAACCCAAAAAAATATATATATAAGTGGTGGGAGTACATAAAGAATATGCAGGGTATAATCTCTGAAACGTTGTGTTCTCTCGTTGCCATGACAAATCGTCCTTATCGCTGTGCCATATAAACATATACAAAAACCAGGGGAGCAATTCACACGCACCACACACATACAAAAAGAAAAACAAACAAAAAAAAAGAAGAAAGTAACAAAAAAAAAAGAGGAAACCACCAAGGAGGGGACACAAGAATGGAGAGCCTGATAAAGATGTTTTGCTGTTGTCTTTGCTTTTTTTACGACTTCAATTAACTGCTGTGCCGTGTCCTGGGCCATTCTGAATGGCAATACCGAAGCAGCAACGCACCAACTGGTGCTGCTGGTACTGCTGCTACTGCTGGTCCTTGTCCAATTCGAGCCTGGGTGTGGATGAGTGGATTTGCGTTCATAATTTTTTATCTTCTCTGACTAAAGTTGTTCGCATTGTTGTTCCTGTTTGGCATGCATCATTAGTTAGCTTAATGTAGTGTATAGGATATCCCCTAGTAGTGGACCACGCCCCAATTGAAGGAAGCAGGTGGCAGCAGGAGGCGCCTGCTCTGCTCTGCTCTGCTGAAAGTGTAGGACCAACTGGAGTGGCCGGCTGGTCATCAGCTAGAACAAAAGCACAGGCATGTCCATGGATATAGATACCAATCACGATTCGCACACGGCACACACACACACACACACACACACAAATACACAAGAGAGAGATTTTCCATTGAAGAAAAACGGCAATCAATTGCCAAAATAGAACAGTCTTAACGTTTCGCTGCTTTTCTCTGGCTCGTTGGCAAAACAGTGAACACTCGTTAATGGCGAAAAATATTAGCAGCAATTATGGAGCCCTCTGCAAAGTTTCAGAATATTTTTTTTTTTGACTTTTTGGGGCAACATTTTTTCTTATAAAACTTAAATTTTAATCACAAGTTTTTCTGCTTTCTACTTGACTAACTTTTCCCCTCAGCGCGTACTCACTGTAGTTGGCCAGCAAAGATAATCGCCGCAAAAACTGCTCCACTTATG